GCCTGTGGCCCTCCAGATGTGGGGACTACAACTCTCATCATTCCTGACTGCTGGCCATGCTGGCAAGGGCTGATGGGCTTTTGGAGTCCAAAAACATCTGGAAGGCCATAGGCTAAAGCATCTCACATATGCCTGCACTTGGGAGAAGCTTGAAACAGTTCCAATCTCCCACATTGTAAAGCCCATCTACATCAATCATACAAATAAGATTGTAAAAGTTACGAAACCCAACCTGCCTATGCTAGTCATTTGCGGTCCTATCAATGACTAAAGAAGAAAATCAGAAAACTGGCAGACTTTCTAATGTACAAAACGTTTCTCTGCCAGGCCACCTGGAGATAATTCCTACTCACGCCACCAGCATTCAAGCAGCAGCTATTGAAGCGCTTGACCTAAACAAGCCCCTGGGTGCCTCTCCAATGTACGTTCGCTCTCTGCTTGTGGGGCACAACAATCTGAATCGTATAGGGTCAAGGGGGAGCTTGGAGGTGTTGATGGAAGGCAAGGGACCTTCTGGTCCCTTCTGTAATGTTGAGTGTGTGTGTGTGTGTGTGTGTGTGTGCGCGCGCATACACACACACACACACACACACACACACAGAGCCTCAGAAGAGAAGCTGACATTTTGGAGCAGAGAGAGAGGGCAGATTCAAAAGGGCTGCTGACTGCTCTTGCGGGCAAGGAGAGGGCAACCAGAGCAAAACGGCTGTCAGATCATTTCCCCTGTGTTTCCCTCTCCCTTGTTTATCTGCAGGATGATGCCGCTAGCAGGAAGCAGGTGCACCAATGCTCATTAGGTGCACCTGTGGCAGATTCTCCCATCTCCCACTGCCTGCCGCCCGCACCCCCACCCTGGCCGCTTCCAGTAGTCTGTTGAGAAGTCATGAAGAAAATAATTGCAGTCCCGGGTGGGGAATCAGGGAGATGGCAAAAAGACCAAGCCAAGTATTAAGGCTGAGTGCAACATTTAGTAGTATGTGGCAATGTGGAGGCAGTATGTTTAGTGCTGATATAACCTCAGCTTAGGGACGCATTGAAAAATGAAAGAAAGGTGGCTTGGCAGCTGCTTCTCTATGCTGGCCTCCATTGAGTTAACAACAACAATAAATGTCAGGATAGGTGGCTGACGGGAATTTTAAACTGCAGTCCTTGTAGGAGATGGGAGGGGGAATCTGTGGTCCTCCTATTATGTCTGACCACTGCTGACTGGAAATGACAGGAGTTGAGAGTCCCCAACAACTTGTGGGTGGTCAGTTTCCACTTTTCTATTCTATTTTTTTTAAATTAATATTTATTACTTTTCTAACAATTTAAACACTACAAAAACAATACAATACAATTCAACACAATAGAAAAACACTACATAACATTGACACATAAAAACATATTAAATACATTAAACTAACAAAACAAAAACAAAGACAGTTTAAAATAAATCAGTTTCAATATCTTATCTTTCATTCCCTTATTTCCACGACCTCCTCCCACCTCCCTTTTTGTATTCCACTTCTGTTAATTGTTTCAGCAATTTCTTTCCATCTTCCTCTGTTTTCTATCCTATAATTATCTTAACACATTCTAACCTTATTTTTTCCTTTAATACTCTATTAATCTATTTATACTTAATTCCTTGTAACATTTCTACTAACGCCATATAATTTCAATCCAACATTTTTCTAACATTCATTAATTTTACAGTGTTTCTGTAAATAGTCTTTAAACATTTTCCAGTCTTCTTCCACCAACTCCCTGGTCTCGGATTCTGCCAGTCATTTCTGCCATCCACTTTTCTATTCTAGAAGGGCTATGACCTTTGTTTCCTGGACCACTGTATTTCCTTTCAGACTCATGAATGAAATGAGCCCCATGTAGCTCCATTAAGTCACTTCCTTTGCCCCACAGCTCATGAACAGTCATTGCATTTCCACAGCTCTGTTTATTTAGCTGTCCCCTCCTTGCAACACGGGACGCATGTGGCACTGTGGGTTAAACCACAGAGCCTAGGACCTGCCAATCAGAAGGTCGGCGGTTCAAATCCCCGTGACGGGGTGAACTCCCGTTGCTTTGTCCCAGCTCCTGCCAACCTAGCAGTTCAAAAGCACGTCAAAGTGCAAGTAGATAAATAGGTACCGCTCCGGCGGGAAGGTAAACGGCGTGTCCGTGTGCTGCTCTGGTTCACCAGTAAAGTGAGAAGAGCGCCGCAACCCCAGAATCGGTCACGACTGGACCTAATGGTCAGGGGTCCCTTTACCTTTACCTTTACCCTCAGCTTTATTTAGTTTCATTACTTACTTGCAGTCCAAAAGCTCAGGTGGAGTAGCATCTTTATTTTTATTTAGAAATGCCCGTTAAAAAAACAACCAATCTAGAAACAGCTAACATTAAAACAGATAAGGCAAACTACCCTTGTATAAGCCTAACCCTGCAAACTCAGAATGAGCTCACGTCTTACATATTCTCCAAAAGATGGCAAGGGTCCGAAGGGAAGGGGCTTTATGGTTGATAGGCAGCCCCGGAGAAAGTCCCTTTGTTTCCCTTCCCAAGAAGAGACACATACTGCCTCCAGCTGCTTTGGAGCCTCCAGTCCAGACCCAGGACTGGCAGAATCGGCAGAATCGTAAGTAAAACCCCATTTGTATTCCCTTATTCCTAGGCAAGCATCTATACAGCCTCAGTCAGCCTAGGCAAATTGAAAAGAGCAGGTTGAACGAATGGGTTGGCTCCAACAACATTAACAAGCTGGCGTGTTTAAAAGCAGGCCTGCCCCCTTTTTCTGGCAAGGATCCTCTGCCATTACTAACAGCTGCATGACAGGCAGAAGGTACGGGTGCAGAAAAACTGTAACAGGTTGAATTTCTTCGTGCTGATCACAATAGCTCCCTCGGAAACAGAAATGGCAACCCCAGTTCAAAGGTGTGACTTGAGAGCATCAGCTTAAGGCAGGGATGGGGGAACCTGCCCGGATGGCCAATGACCAGGGAGGATGGGAGTTGGAATCCAGCAACATCTGGGACCCACAAGTTTCCTCACCCCCTGCTTACCTTGGGATCAATGGGATCTCATACATGACTAGGACTGCAGTGTTAATCAACAGGACAAACGCCAAATAGTTAACGGGCTAAAAGATCTTTAAATCAGGTGACAGATAAGCTCCTACAGCCCTGGAGAACAAAGGCAGAGAAATCTATCGCAACAGCCTCCATTGAAGCAACACGAGGAACTATTTATGAAGAGAACACTTCTCCCAGAGAGTCAAGGGGCCTTTTAGATCTTCAGCCACAACAGAGACAATCAATCCTGCCTCTCACGGATGCTCTGCTTGTATCCTTGTTCTGTTCGGCTTTGGCAGGGAACTTGCTCAGGCAGGACTTGTAAAGGCAACTTGCCTCGTAACCCGAGTGGAAGCAGACAAAAGACAAAATCCTCAGTGGCACCTCTCTAAGGAGTCACATTTCTTTTTGGTCTGGAAATGCAACTCGCTCATCTGTGGAAAACTTGGAATTGACAAGAATGAAGCCTGCCTTGATGCCTTTTGCAAGTCAGCTGCAGAACTTCCTGCTCCCTCGCCCAACCAACATGAGCAAAAACTGAAAGATAATTATTTAGGCAGGCCTTTGAGGGTCTGCTGTGGGTAAAACCTCAGTGCCTAGGGCTTGCTGATCGCATGGTCAGCGGTTCAAATCCCCGCGGCGAGGTGAGCTCCTGTCGTTCAGTCCCAGCTCCTGCCCACCTAGCAGTTCGAAAGCACCCCTAAGTGCAAGTAGATAAATAGGTACCGCTTTATAGCGGGAAGGTAAACGGCGTTCCGTGTGCTGCGCTGGTGCTGGCTCGCCAGAGCAGCTTCGTCACGCTGGCCACGTGACCCGGAAGTGTCTCCGGACAGCGCTGGCCCCCGGCCTCTTAAGTGAGATGGGCGCACAACCCCAGAGTCGGACACGACTGGCCCGTACGGGCAGGGGTACCTTTACCTTTACCTTTACCTTGAGGGTCCCACAAGTCTTTTTTACAGTAAAAAAATAATAATGAAGTACTGGATGCAGAAATCAGCTTCCTGGAAACCTAATCTTTCTTTCCTCTCTCTTCCTTTATTAGAAAGCAAGTTTCTAGACCATATGATTGAAAATACAGACATGAGTGTTTGGGTAATGCTTGAAACAAGGTCAGAAATTTAAAGGATTTGCCCTTAGGCATTACTTCCCTTTCGAAAAGAATCTCTGCTATATTAACACTCACTTGGCCTAGCCTTAAGTATTTAACATAACTATTGTTAAACATTTAAAATAAATGTTTAATAGATTAATCTCATATTCCCAAATGTTTATTAATAAATAGCATCTGGCAGTTCTGAGAGAATGGTAAACCTCTCCTTTAGTTCTGCTCTAGGTGACTAATTTTAACTGCTGCTAATTTCAACTGATCTCTTGCAGAGCCTACCCTCTAGAACCTTTTTGGCAAACTGTTCAAAGAACAAACTTCATGCCTGAGCAGCTTTTGTTGCTTATCTTCATAGTTACAAGGGGTGGGGGGATGACTTTTCCAGCAGCTCTTGCAAGGAGCTTAGGTGTGATACAATTCATATTTTGCAGCTCTAGCAATGCATGCCTGGTTTATTCATTTTCATCCTTGGTAAGCATGAGGAAACTTCTTGAAAGCTCAATGATAAGTATTCTTTCAAGACAGCTTCTGATGGAAGCTGCAGCCCAACAACATCTGTGGGGGCCACAGGTCCCACAACTCTGTATATAGGATGTTATGTGCCATACTTTTTACCAAAACAATACAATATGGGAAAATATTTTATTTAAAGAGATTGTTTAAAGGGAATGTACACTCAAGACAAGGTTGGAAATGAATAAGGGACATATTGAGAGGTTAAATTTGTATACACCCACAACTAAAACACTGACTCAAAATATTAGAGAAATGTGACACTACCCAGAGATAAAATGCATACTAAAGATGGGAGGGAGTGAAAATATGAAGTAGAGGATAGGGAAAGGGCTGTTGCTCATTGGCAGAGCATCTACCTTGCATGCTGGAGGTTCCAGGGTCAATACCTGGCATCTCCAGGTATGGTTGGGAAGAACTTCCTGAATGCCCAGAGAACCTCTGCCCTTAGTGCAGGCAATACTGAGCTATATGGACCAGTGGTTTGACTCAGTGCAAGGCCGCTTCTGACATTCCTATGAACTTGGGAGACATTTGGTAGCCCTATTTCAGGCTTCCCCAACCTGGTGCGGTCCAGATATTTTGACCCACAACTCTTGTTTTTATGCTATCTGATGAGGAGTATCAAAACAGTTGGAGGCTACCAGGTTGCCCTATTCAGTCACTGACAGTGCATTCCTATGCATCAGGGTGGGGAATGTGAGGCCCTCTGGATGCTGTTGGAGCCTAACTCTCATCAGCCCCAAGCAGCAGGGCCAATGGCCAATGCAGCCATAGTCCAGCAACATCAGAACCAATTGTATATGCGTCTATGGAGATCTGAGCTCCACTGAATTCAAATGGGTAGATAGGTATAGGGACCATAGCCTGTGGAACACACTAGAAATAATAGCAGGAATATAAAATAAAAGCCTATTACTTAAATCGTGACCCAGCCACAACTTCATTAGGACGTGTTAAGCAAAGCATGCAAATAAACAGATTGTGATTTGGTTTTATATCTAATGACAGCTGGTAGGCCGGCAATTGCTTGTAATTAAGGGGAAGGTGGTTCTAGAATTAGCAGAACGGTGCATAGGAGCTACTGAGAAATGGTCTCTTGTCCATTAGTTGAATAATAAGTGGACTTGTACGCACATTTTTCATTGATTTTTTTGTATGCTTTTTAAAAAAAACACCACCAGACATTTGGTAGCAATTAAAAGATGAAACTGAGCAGAACAAATGCAAATTAGGAGATATTAGTTGGTCCTCTGGGCCACCTTCCAATGCAATTTTATTATTCCAGCAGCCTGATCCTATGTGTGTTTACTCAGAAATAAGCCCTGCTGTGTTCAATGGGATTTACACCCAAATAAATGAGCACAGAATTCAAGCCTGTATTTTCTTTTTAAACAACCATTTTTCTGTAGTTAGTACTTGGACAAATCCCCAAATCAGAAGACAGCAGGAACTTTGTAGTAAGTGAAAGTCACGCCTCTCCTTCATCACATGGGGTAAAAGAACCTCAGTAAGAGATTATACCCTATGCCGTATGCATATAAGTACGGAAGCAGAGCTTTGTGTATTATAATTCTGTAGAAGCTGCAAAATAAGACACTGGTCAGAAAATCACTTCCCAAGACCCCAGCTTTCATTTTATAAAAAGCAGGTTTTGAAGAAGAAGAAGAGTTTGGATTTGATATCCCACCTTTCACTCCCCTTCAGGAGTGTCAAAGCAGCTAACATTCTCCTTTCCCTTCCTCCCCCACAACACTCTGTGAGGTGAGTGGGGCTGAGAGACTTCAAAGAAGTGTGACTGGCCCAAGGTCACCCAGCAGCTGCATGTGGAGGAGCGGAGACGCGAACCCGGTTCCCCAGATTATGAGACTACCGCTCTTAACCACTACACCACACTGGCTCCCCACTACACCACACTGGCTCCTTTTGGACTACCTTTCCCAACAGTCCCAGCAAGCATCCAAAATATCTGGAGGGCACTAAGTTAACGTAGAGTGATCTAGCCCATACAGTCCATTCTGGCACCAACAGGTGGTACCAGTTATCTCCCAATGACAGGAGATGGCTGAACTCAAGATCACCTGGAAATGCTTTAATACTGTACTATGATTATTTGCAGATTACCAAAACTTCTAGTGCCCTCTTGTAAAAGTATAAAGTAACAAATGCTACCACTCATTACCAGAAAGAAAGAAAGAAAGAAAGAAAGAAAGAAAGGCAATCAATTTTTTTTTGTAAAGTTTTTCCTTTCCTATTGCAGTAATATAATCATAATAGCAATATACTGGAGTGAGAATGGCCAGGGTGGGAGATAAAAATAATACCAAGTGTATTGAAGCCTCAATGATAAAAAATGGACCCTTGTCCTATATTTCAAAGCTTGCAATCCTACCTAAGATTGGGGTGGGTGGCTGTCTGTGTGTTTTTGAAATAAGTGCTGTTCTGATACAATGAAGCCCTGATAGCCCATGAATACCGAGACCAGTTGAGGCTAAACCCTGCTTTGTCCTTTTCACAGAGAGCATCCTTAGCGGGTAGCTAGGGATGCCACAGTAATCTGGCAGGTTTTATATCCAAGACAGAGGCTGTGTTTCCCCTGGTGCTGGGCTATTTTCCTGAGCCCACCTTCTGTTTTTGATTCTGTATTTCTCAGCGTGGGTGGGGAATATTTCTCATGAAAGAAACAAGGCAAGGGTTTTTAGAATGGAGAAGTGTATTCAAAACTGAACCTCCCATAAGCAACCTCCATAGCTGGCGTGTTTTGCAACGCCTGTAAAGGCAAGGAAATACTCCATTCAGCTTCCATGGCATGGTCCCTCTTAAACAATATAAAGGAAAAGCATTGCGTATAAATGTTTTGGGTAAAGAAAATAATGGCTTAGAAATAAAATAAAGGGATCCTAGAATTGGAAGGGACCACAAGAATCAGCGAGTCCAACCTCCTGCAATGTAGGAATCTTTTGCCCAACATGGGACTCAAACCTACAACCCTGAGATTAAGAGTCTCATGCTCTTCCAACTGAGCCTTGCACATCTCTGCAGCTGGCACCCCTGAGCTTCCTGACTTGGAACCGCATTTCCCAACCTGCTGCCCTCCATACGTTTTTGGGACTCTCAAATGATGGGGAATTGGGAGGCAAACAGTACCTGGAGGGCACCAGACTGGAGGAAGGCTGCCTTGGAGCCACCAAACTTGTACCTTTTAACACTTCTGGTGGCAGGCAGAGATTCAACAGGCAAAGCCCCCACCCAAATCTGTGAGACATGGTCATGGGAATATTTTCATTCAACAAATTTCCGCCTGACATGGGTCTGTTCAAAGGCACTGGAGCCCTGCTAGGAAACAAATTGATAGCAGCCCTGCAGCAGGCAGAACCCAGCGGCCACTCCCTGCTGGGTAAATTGTCTGGTTTTGACCTCTCTGCCTGCGGATAATTGTCTCTTCCCTGCTGCTTCACACTTCCTCATGGATCTCCCTCTTTCTGGCTGTTCACTTTTTGTCTAGTTAAGCTTCCCAATTAGGAAGCCATCAAACTCTCCCATGTTGTTAAGTGGAAAATATAGACACACACTCACACCATGTTAAGGCTAATTTTCTTCTCTTCCTTGCATCTCCCTACAACTACACTGATGGTCCCTAAACAAACTCCAATAGCTGAGCTGGGCAAGACACACCAAAGAGAGGAGGAGTAATGCAGTGTGGATACAGTGTTGAAGTGCAACCACGCAAAGAACGAGGCATGAATATTCTAATAAACATATCCTGTTTATAAATACATTGTGCTGCATTTGGAGAATGGCTGTAACTCAGTGGTAGAGCATCTGCTTTACATGCAGAAGTTTGTAGATTCAGTTCCCAGCATCTCCAGGAAGGACTGGAAGAGCCCCCCGTCTGTGATCCCCAAAAGCCGCTGCCGGTCAGTGCAGGCAGCTCTGAGCTAGATGGATCAGTGGTTTGACTCGGTATATAAGGCAGGTCCCTTTGTCATGGATTTAGTTGAGATTCCTGCATTACAGGAGGTTGGACTAGATGACCCTCAGGGTCCCTTCCAACTCTTGTGTTCCTAGCCTGCAGACTGGAAGGAGCCTAGGTGTATGCACGCACAATAAATCTGTATACAAACACACACTACATCCCCATTGTACACTGTTGGTGGGTCTGGGTCACCAAGGGGTGTGGGCAGGTTTCACTTACAGATTTGCGCACCCGGACGCAGCACTTTTTTCTCCTATAAGCAAATGTTCGTAATTTACTAAAGTGGGCGAAAGTAAGGACTCAAAATCTGCTGCTTGCCACTGAGTCGGAGAAAACATCGGTCAGGTTTTCCATGGATTGGTGTTTGCTCCAATTGAGCAGTAAAGAGCAGGTTTTTCTGGGGAAAGCAGCAGGCAAACAGAAAACCTGCCGATTTGTAAAGTGTGGACGAGCCCTAAAATGTGGACAACGATGGGCTCAACCTGCTCCTAGTGAATGACGCAGCAGACAGGCTCCAGCTGTGTTCCAAATTACTTCCATGGAAACACTTTAGAATTGAGTCTTAGCATATCTTCCTGGAATTCAGATTCTTGCTCAAGCTAGCAGGTAGAATATGAATGGAGAAGGATCCATGTTACGGATTGGTTACAATACCATCAGTTACATGAAATGTTTAAATTAGATATTAAAAAAGGTTTTTTGGACCAAAGCTCACAATTCGAAAAAGAACTTCTACAAAACAAAGAGAAACTTTTGTCTAAGATGTATAATCTGTTATTAGATTGGGAAACAAAAGATGAGCTTGTTTAAGCCTCAGTGATACACTGGGCAATAGCTATAGGACACAATATATGAAATGAAATTTATTACGGTCCCAGACCAGATTCACATACTGTACTAAGTGAACATAAAACCCAATAGAATTAAGTTTGAATTAACAATCAATATAACAATAAACAATATGAATATGAGGACACAATATAGATTTTACCTTCTGGGAAAAACTCTGGGAAAGTGACTTGGAAGTTTACAGCATGTTATTCGTTGAAGGAGAACTATCTGAAAATGATTCACAGATGGTATTTAACTCCGAGTAGGCTTGCTAAGATGTATAAGACTGAAGCAGATAAGTGCTGGAGATGCAAAGAAGTGGAGGGAACATTCTTTCATATGTGGTGAACTTGCAAAAGGGTAAAAGAAATGATCCATAATGAATTGAAAAAATTGTTTAAAAGTACCTTCCCCCCCCCCCAAAAAAAACCAAAGTCCTTCCTATTGGGGATAATTCAGACTGAAATTTCCAGGTGTCAAAAAAGGTTATTTGTGTATGCTACTACTGCGGCCCGTGTTTTGTTAGCCCAAAAATGGAAAACGATGAGGTCCCAACCAAAGAAGAATGGCAACTTAAGTTGACACAATATGCACAACTTGCAGACTTAACATATAGAATAAGAGAACAAGAAGAACATACTTTTAGAGAAGATTGGAAAACGTTTATTGAATATATGGGAAATAACTGTGTACAGCTGAAAACGCTGGCAGCGTTAAGATAAATTCAACAGTGTAAATAAGTTTTGATGGATGCAATAATGGAATACTGAAAGGTATAATTTTTGTAATATATGAAGGGATTTATGATATGTAAAATGAACCATGGAAAGAGAAGAAGGGAAGTTATTGATATCTTAAGGATGTAAAATGAGTATGTTAAATTGTAAAAGAGAAAATCTAATAAAAAATTTATATACTGTATATGAATGGAGTATTGTCTAACAGTGTTATGTACACAATGTGCCCCAGTAACTGGCTCAAATTAAGCTCTGGCTCAAATTAAGAACAGGGGATTCTTCTTCTTCTTTGGCCATCACCTGTAACTGAGTAAGATGGTCTTCCATGAACACGGGCTTAACGGTGTGTCCATAGGTGACTATGGAAGCCAATTCTGGATCCACACATTCTTCCACAGTGGGGACATAGGTTTCCGGGCAGGAGTTGATCATGGTGAGGGTTTGCCAAGCATGCCTTCCTCTTAGTTCATTTCTCCCTTTCATCCTGAGTTCAAGTGTTTTCAAAGTCCTTCGGTAAAGGCTGTTCTCCAAGTGGAGCGCTCATAGGCCAGTGTTTCCCAGTTGTTGGTGTTTATGCTACATTTTTTTTAGATTTGCCTTGAGAGTGTCTTTAAACCTCTTTTATTGACCACCAGCATTACACTTTTCATTTTTAAGTTCACAACAGAGTAGTTGCATTGGGAGAGGCTAATCAGGCATCCAAACAACATGACCAGTCCAACGAAGTTGATGTTGAATAAACATTACTTCGACACTGGTGGTCTTTGCTTCTTCCAGTACACTAACAATAGTTCCTGTCTTCCCAAGTGATATGTAAAATTTTTCAGAGACACCGTTGATGGAATCTTTCAAGGAGCTGGAGATGGCGTTTAGAAGTGGCCCATGTTTCACAAATGTACAGTAAGCTTGGTAGTACAATAGCTTTGTAAACAAGCATTTTCATTTCCTGCGAATGTCCCGGTCCTCAAACACTCTGTACTTCAACTGGGAGAAAGCTGCACTTGCAGAGCTCAGGCAATGCTGGATTTCAGCATTAATGTCAACTCTTGTGGAAAGATAACTGCCCAGGTAGGAAAAGTGATTGACGATTTCCAATGTTACACCGTTAAGTTGAATTTGTGGCGCTGCAGAGGGGTTGTTTTGTGCTTGTTGGTACAACACTTTTTTTTTTTTTTGGATGTTGAGCGATAGGCCAAGCTTTTTATAAGCTTCTGCGAAGATATTTAGGATGGTTTGGAAGTCATCCTCTGAATGTGCACACACTACATTGTCATCAGCATGAATGCAGTATTGTCTAACAGTGTTATGTACAAAATGTGCCCAAGTAACTATCTCAAATTAAGCTCTGGCTCAAATTAAGAACAGGGGGTACAGACTGCAGATGCTGCTGGACTACATATTCATAGTTGCCCCAGCCAGCAGGCCAGCAGTCAGGGATGGTGGGAGTTGTAGTCTGGTGGGGCACCATGCTGTCTGTCCCTGGCATAGGTCTACAAAAATGAAAGGTAGCCGGGTCAATCCACTAACTGCTGGAAGCCCTCTTCAGCTCAAGGATCAATAGGCATGACACTAAGATATTGCAAATGCAAATCTTGCAAAGAGTTCTAGGTTTGGACTTCAGGCGAGACAGATGTTCCTGCTACTCCAGGACAAATGACTCCAGATTGTGTGCAAAGTTCAAAAGGTGGTACATCCCAGGGCATGATAAGTTGGCCTTTACCCATGGGAGGTTTCTATGGCAGGAAAGCTTCCCGGGGGCAGATGCTGTTAGAAAGGAGTGACAGGCACTCTTGGGAAATGTGGAAAGCTTTCATTTATCACCTTATTTACCAAACAAAGAAAAAGGAAGAAGTCCTCTACGTGTCATTCCACGGTAAATAATGCTGAACTGGATGTTAGTTAGAAAATTTATTCCAGAGAGACAGAGAGAGACTGTTTTCATAATCTGCTTGTTTTTCTGATTTGTATAAAGTCTGTGTGCAGAAGGAAAAACTGGGAGTGGATGAGAAACATGCCCTCTGCCTGCACACATCCCCCTCAGAGTCTGAATCTGGGGGATTAACCAATCACTCTGGTTACAATCAGCAAATCAATACAGTGGTACCTCGGGTTAAGAACTTAATTCTTTCTGGAGGTCTGTTCTTAACCTGTTCTTAAGCCACGCACAATTTTATAACACTTCTATCATGTTGCCTCTTACTCACCTTTTCCCTAAACTAAAAAGCCCCAAATAGTGCAACCTTTCTTAGGGGAATTTATTCACCCCCTTCATCATTTTGGTTGCCATTTTCTGAACCTTTTCCCAGCTCTACAATATCCTTTTTGAGGTGAGGCAACCAGGGCTGGATCTAGACATAGCAAAGAAGCGTTTCGGTTAAAACCATTGCGAACTTGTATGGGGAATCAGGTTAGCAAAAAGGGAACTCCAGGGCACCATCTGGTGTCACAGTGTTAGAATGCATGAACAGCGCATCTAAAGCGTTTTTTCTTTGCCAGTGTCCCAGAACTATACAGAGGATTCCAAATGTGTTGCACCATAGATTCGTATAATGTCTTTCCATAATGTGTAAAATAGCCCAAAGGACAGATTTTCCAATCAGTTTTTTGCTATAAATAGATGCTTCTGCATGCTCCCTGTTGTCATCAAATATCTGGATCAAGGGTCCCCAACGTGGTGCGACTGAGATGCTGCTGAACTACAATTCCCACAGTGCTGCACCCAATTTGATCTGCCTACACCCGATTTGACTGAAAGAGTTAAGAACTCACTTTGCTACGATTAAGGCCTCTTAGGCTATCACAGCTGGATATGTCACAACCTCCCACTTACTCTGATGAGGAGTGCAGCTCAGGAAATCTGCCGATTTGCAAAATCTGAAAAGGCGGGGAGGAGAGAGAAATTATCAGCTCCACCAAAGACTAATGTAACTGCAGGGCACAGTTATTTACTCATGCCCAATGGCATATGTAGGTGCATCTGAAGATTTGCAGGCTGCAATATGGAGATTTTGAATCGTTACATTAATTTATTACAAAGCAGCTAATGAATTCCCTATTGCTTTCCTACTCCAGCTGCTGAAGCAAAGTTGGGGGGAGGGGAAGACGATTTAAAAAGAGAGAGAAAAGTGAAGCAAAATTGTGTTTCCCGGTTTTCCCCCTCCTTCCCAAGCTGTAAATCCTGTTTGAGAATTGCAGCTCATTATATCATAATACGCAGCTCTTCCTAATTGAATAGTGTATGAAAATCAGTGCGCCTGAGAAAGTGTTTGTGAGAGTGTGTTTTCAGGAGATTAGCAACTGCTTTAATTTTTAATTTGTACCTTC